GCGATCATCTTAAGCTGCATAGAACTCGCTCTTGAGTTTATTAAACTACATGTTCCTACAATGTATATATATATAGAGTATAGATATACCACATCCAAGTATAACCAGACCGAATAACACCAATGTTTAACCACGTATAGTGGAGGGTGGAAAATAGAAGCTGCGAAACGGTTCACCGGCTCCATTGAAAAACTTCGACTGAAACTCCACCCAATGCAGGCGCAGGGTGTGCAGAAAAGCCGACAGACCCTCCATCATGACCAATATGGCAACCGTTAGTATGGCCCAAATAAAGAAGGCTACGGCCAGTATGGGTACTGCCAAATAAATGGGTAGCTTATTTTTGAGACCCTTCTCGAGAATCATATTCCAGAGCACATCCGCCAGCTGGCTGTGGGCCAGCGAGAGAGCCCAGAGACGTAAATAGGAGGCGGTGTGCGAGACCGAACCGAGAACGCTCTCAATTGTGTGTATGCCGGAGTGTATCCAGATTTCGGTCATATCAAATTCAACGGCATCGTCGACAGTATGTAGCTTGGGTCCCGATCCGCGTTTTTCCTTGTCCTGGCCAACGTCCTGAAACTCAACTGAATAACGCAGCGAGGAGCGCATCTCCTGTATGGTATTATGGCTGTTCTTATACAAATCGGAATCCTGTTTCTCGGTCTCCTTGGTGAGCTGTTTTTGGCGCCGGGTCAAATAGATGGGCTTGCCGGCCAGTAGTATGGGCACAGAGGCAAAGGCCACAAAGACCAGGATATATTCCAAAAGTCGTTCATATGGAAACATTCCCGCATTGCAGGCCTTCACCTCCAGTTCCGTATTCTTCATCAGCATCATGTCAATGAAGGTGATCAGCACGGATGGCGCGCAGGCCGAGTTGTAGGGCGTCTTTTTCAAGCCGCCGTACATCAGCCACTTGAAAAATATGAGAAAAACCAGATAACAAAACAGACAGATCATAAATACAAAGAGTGGACAAACCACCAGAAATAAATCGGCCTTGCGATGCAAGTGGATGCAATTGACAGCCGACAAGGTGAGGCCGAACATCATCTGTGTAATGCCCAGAATGATGGCCAGTTTCATTTTGAGCGAATTGAATGTGGTTATCGAATTCTCTCCACTGATACTCCAGACGGGATCAACGCCAAGCGGATATGGATGGCCCGTATAGAATTTGGGATCGTTTGGATTGAATGCCAGATCGGTGGTCAGGGTCATAACTGTGCTCTCATTGTAGACACACGACCAGCTGGAGCCAAAGAGATTTATCGACCGAGAGACGACATCATTATAGATAATGCCGATATATATTGAAAATATGCCCATCAGCAAAACAATATATCGGCCGGCATATAAAATATTTAGTATCTCATTCTCGCTTACGTTCGTCCGTTTCAATTCTTCGATGCGTTTCTCCTGCAAGATCAGGATGCACGCAAAAAATGTCAATATAATGCCATGGCCTAGATCCCCAAACATAATGGCAAACAGAAATGGAAACGTTATAATCGTATATGGTGCCGGATTCAGTTCCCTATAGTCGGCCATGCCATAGGAATCGATTAGGTTCTGAAAGCCACGTGTAAACTTGTTCAGCTGAAAGTATGTGGGCGGCATGTGTCGCTGTTTTCGAGTGCGCTTTATCAGAACCGGCGGAGAGGAGAGCATCTCTTCGCCATGATGAGCAAACATGCCACGGTTTAAGGCATCGCGTACCCCATTTACTTGTGACTTGGGTGCAAAGCATTCGGCCTGCAGATACCTTTGATGCTCCGCACCGCCGACTGGATATAGGCGATTGAGCAGATCGTACACCCTTATGGATTTACGTAAATTGATGCGCATTATGAACAGATCGTCGGCCGCGGTGCTCAATATGCGTTTGCGCACCGAACGTGTCTCATTGAGCACCACATCCAGATCGCGTATATCCTGATCCAGCTGATCGATCATCTGCGCACGCTGGCTGGGCTTCTCGGGGCACTCAAAGATGGTCACATGAAACGCCTGACAGCACTTGATCAATTTGGGTCGTATGCTCGTCGATGTGGTCATCAGCAGGACAACATGTTTGTGCACCATATGACGCTGATGTCCCACTTGTTCCATTGTCTTCATGGGTATTTCGGCGTATCGTATCAACAGATTGCGGCCAAACATGCGATAGAGCATCAGCTCAAAGGCTGGAAACTTTTCCACATTGATGCTACCCAAGATGTAATTGAGCTGTAAGCCGTGCGGATCCGCTTCAGACTGATCCCTTAACAAGCCGAAAATTGTGCTTTCCGTGTAAAGCAGCTGAGATCCATGGCTTCCATCGGAGGAGAGAAACTTGCTTGCCTTCTGCAAGGCAAAACTTTTCTCCTTCATATAATTTTGACGCTTCTCTAGCGTATTAAAGTGCTCCATAACGGAAAAAACTTCCGTATGCTGACGACGCAATTCCGTCTCGTATACCGGTATATAGGATTCGCGTGGCCGATGCTCCGTATCGACGTTTGCGTAGAATGTCTCTCTTACATCCACAGCGCGCAATTGCTCCTGCAGATATTCGACAATGCGCAACAGCTCGTGACACAGCTGCACCTTCTTGGTATAGATGCCATTCAGGATGTGATCCTCGTCGTACACATTGTTGAACTGCAGTCCACCATGATGGCCTACCTCCATTAGGCAATTGAAGGCGTTGTCCACATGCAGCAGCAGCAGGTACAGCTCCATCTCCTCGCTGCAAAAGAATGCCATATTGCAAATGGTGGAGCAGGGGACCAAGAGAGTAAAAAAAAAACGTTTGTTGTATCGAGAATCTAGTATTTTGGGTTTGGGTTAGAGTTTAATGTTTGCTATGACTTCGAGTTGGCCAGGCCTGCTGGATTGTGTCGCCTGCTAATTGATACGTTTGCCAGTCAGCCAGCTTATTGTTGTTGTTGTTTGTGTTGGCGTGTTTGCTGTGACTGCACTTAATACGAGTAGCTGCCACGCTGCACAAACACAAACACAAACACAGGCCACAAGTCCAAAACTTGCGGCCTGTGCATAAGATTAACAGCGATAATTTAGCGTTTGCATGCTGCACAGCTGCTGTACTCCCCCACCGCAGCCATCTTTTGGCCCACAGTGCTCGTAGCAGTCACAGTTCGAGTCACGCCCACAGTGCAGCCTTTGCAACGCTACACTGAGCAACACTAGCCTGCAATTTATGCTTTGTTCTCAATGGGAAACTTGACTTTAATTTTACAGGGTTCTCTTTCAGGTTGTGTGTAAAGCATATAATAAGTATAAAGTGTGTTTAGTATATTAAATCTAAAAGTAGAATTCACACACAATCAGCATGAGAGAACTCTTTTGAAACTAAGCTATTTATTATATTGAATATAAGTATATATAGCTTACACATTTGTCTGTAAATCTTCACATTGCCTTGAATTTCCCCCTCTGCTTTCTTTCAGTCCCTACTCGCCACACTCTCTTTCTCTTACTTATTCATTTCATTTTATAAATATCGCCCTTCTATGCGATTTTCAAGAACTCAACTGAGGCTCACAGATTTCTGAATAGTACAGGGTGTCTGCTGGCCTAGCACTTTCATTATTCTAAATTGTTTGTTATTGTGTTTGCATTTAATTAAGTAGCTCTAACCAAAGTGCATTTGATTTGTTTTGCCTTGCTGAAGCTAGCAACGCGGCGTATGCTTAATCTGCTTATATAAGACACCAAGTGGCAGCATTTATTGTTGTTGCTGTTGTTGTTGTTGCTGTTGGTGTTGGTGTTGATATTGGTGTTATTTTCTCATCACACGCCACAAAGATGCAGCAACATTTTCCCATACAAATCGAAGTTTAAGCGTTTCGGACAAATTGTTTTGTAATTTCTGATCCATTGTTGTTGTTTTTGATGTTGTCGCTGTAGTGCCAAAAGCGTTTTACTCATTAGCTGCTGCTAAAAGGAAAATGGCCCAAAATGTGTGTGCTCTTTGGTGAAAATTTTGTTACGGCGCCCATAAAATGTTCGTTAACGTTGCCAACAACAGCACAATCGGCCCCAATGCCAACAACAATGGCTGAAAATCGGCTACAAACAATGAAAGTAAAAGTGCCAAAGCGCGCTGCACTTGATAATTTCTTGGGCAAGCTTGTTGGCGATCTCTAAAGTTGTTGTTGTTGCTGCTGTTGTTGTCGTTGGGCCGCGAGTCATTTTGCTTGGACACTCTGGCGTTAACAACAATGAGGCCGTTGTGTTGCCCCGCTTCGATTTCATTAGCTTTTATTGCAGCACTTTTGTTGCCAATGAAATTAAGTCACCAATTGAAAGTTGGAGAAGGAAAGCAAAAGTGGGCCCACTGCGCGCTGTTTTCACTTTTGGCCACGCTCAGCAATTGCACTGAAAATTGTCAGGCGTTCAGCCGATTTGCATGCCAGCCAATAAATTGACTCTGAGCCAACAACAACAGCAAACTAACAAACAGCTAAGAACTGCAGCTGCAAACAAGGCAAGGCACATGCAGCTACCAAATGTAGCTAGAGGCGGGTTTGCAGGGCCAGGCGGGATTCATGAATGTGAAAAACTCGAAAATTATAAGATCTAGATACACCCAACTTGGTTGGGTTGCAGCTTCTCTGTACACAGATACCATTTTTTGGATAACTTTCATCGTTTCTTTCAGAATAGAAAAAGAGTCAGCCTTCAAGGTGGAGCCTGTGTTATGTTATGTGTTTTTCTATGTATGTATGAAAAAAAGCTAGAATGTTTACAACAGCTCGATGCTGGGCTTAGGGTAGCTTTAGTCGGGCGGAATAGAGCTCTTAGTTATTTCATTAGCAAGTACGGCTTGTCATAAACGTTTTTATATACAAACAATTTCATCTTAATCCCAAATAGTTGCACTGCAAACAATGTCAATTGTTGGCTTAAGGCGCAATTTTGAACCGTTTTTGGCTGCTTATTTCAAGTGTTTTCATAAACTAATTTTCGTTTCTCTCTCTCCTAATTTGCAGTGATGTGATTGAAGTTCAATAGCCAAACAAGCAGACGCCAAGCAAAAGGTAAGCCGCAATCGATTTTGGCATTAAATAGCAATTAAGTGTACGCCCACAATGGCAACAACAACAACAAAAGCAACCGCAGCGAAAAGACGCAACTCACTTTTCGTTGGGGCAGAGAAAGTGCACTCAGAAAACATGTAATTTGGCGAAAAGGCGCGTAGAACCCAAAATTAACGCCTAAACAGCAGCACGGCTTTATGATGGCCAATCAAGGCAGTCAGAGAGAGTGATAGAGAGAGAGAGAGGGGGGCGGGGGATTTCATTTTAATTACAATATATGAGGCATAGCCTGAATAGGGTCAAGTTGTGTGTAGCACGCGAAGCAGAACTCACGAATTTGTGGGCGTGGAAAAGAGAGCAAAAGCCAAGCGAAAGTTGAAAGTGACAACCGAAAAACTGACGGAAACTATATAGAACAGCAAATGTTAGGCGCACGCATTCTGTGCGTGAGCTTAAATTAAAAGGTGCATATTATTTTTGTGAATCAGCTCAACATATGCCAGCATATCACACTCAAGAACTAACTGTGCTCAAGACTGGCATTGAAATGCACACCTTTGCCTTGTGCTTGTTGTTGGTGCAGCCAGCAAGTTCGTTGCTTAAGTCTTTCGTTTTGCATGCCGCCGCCGCCGCCGCTGACTGACTGACTGACTGACTGACTGCGACCTTATCAAGCTATGACTGTGACGAGCTGCTGCTGCTGCTGCTGTTGTTGTTCTTGTTGTGCGTGAACGTCTAGCCCGGCTTGGCCTGGCCCGGCTTGGTCTGGCCTGGCCTGGTCTGGTCCGGTCCGTTATGCGTCTCGAGCTTGAGCTGGCAGCGCTTCATTAAAATGTCTAGCTGGGCCAAATGGTTTTTGAAATTGAAACGTCTATGTTGCGACTGCTGCGTCTGCGCAAATGCATCTTCGTCTGCAACGGCAACGGCAACGTCTACGTTGTCGTCCTCATCATCATCATCAGCTGCCCCGCAGCAGCTTATCTGGCAGGTCTGAACGCAACATGCGCGCACTTGGCTCTGGGCTATGCCAAGGCTTGGGCCATGGCTGTGGTCTGGCTGGGGCCGCCGCCGCCATCGCCGCCAGCGCACAATTTTCAATTTGCCAATTGTAGCAGTAAACTTTATAGCTGTATTTTGTTGTTGTGCCACACCCCCTCCTGATCTCCGCCCCCTAGCTCTTTTTACCCGTGTGCTGCTGCCCCCTCCCCCCAACAGATGTTTACCGTTAGTTTGTTGTGCATGTGATTGGCCTTAGGTGTTGCTGCCAAGTACCTGGCCATTTACCTCTGCCTCAGCTCCTCTCAGCATGTGTGTCCGTTGCGTGTGTGTGTGTGTGTGTGGGTTGGTCTTACTAATTTGCGACAATTGGTCAGACCATTAGCCTGACTGACTGACTGACTAACTAACTAACTAACTGACGGACTGACTGACTGGTCAGTAAGTGTGGGCGTGGCGAGCGCAATTCCATTGTCCGTACACCATAATTTATGCAGGAATTCTGGCATGAAATTTTGATTTAATAAACGTTGGATGCTCCAATGATAATTTATTATATGAATTTGCGCTGCGTTGACAATCATTCAACGAGCCATGCCACGATTCCATTTCAAGCAAATTATGTGATTAATTTTGTTAAATTATAGGAAATGCTAAACACATTTATGGGAAATATTTCTCAAATTAGTTTGGCTAAGAAATTTAAATTGGAAAAAGGAAATAATATGCTTGATGGATATGCGCTTGAATTGCGCAGACCTTGCCTTCTAGCCCTTTCCAAGCTTCAACTTGTCATATAATTATTTGCGCTAAAGAGCATGTGATTAGGTTGGGAATATAAATAATTTAACTTCAATGAAAATTATCCGAAACTCCGTTTTGCACGACAAGTTGCTTAAATTTGTGTTTCTATTAATATATTAATATCAATTTGTTATGCAACTAATTGGCAGCAAATAGTTAACAATATAAAGAATTCAAATATAATTGCCAACTCTTGAAAAACTCTTGCCTATTTCTCTGTCAAGCTATTAAAGGAGAATCGCTGAGGGGGGTAAACCCCCTTACAACTATTGAGTTTGACAGGCGGCGGCAGCTGCAGTAAACTTCTAATAAATGGACGTTGCATTTTGCGTAACTGCGGCATTTGCAACATGTGAACGTGCAGCGTGCGCTGTCTAGTCATTAGTTTGCTGTGTAATTTGAAACAAAAGATACACACACACACACACACAAAGTTGACTGGGCAATTCATTAGACACACGCTGTTTTGCATGATTCTTGCAATTTGCAACAAAATACGTATTTTGAGCAAACATGACCCAATTTTTTGTTGCTGGACATGTGCAGCAGCATACTAAAAGCCAGCAGGACGTCCCGTGTGTGTATATATGTGTGTGTTTGTGTGTGTGCGCGGCACGAGTTCAAAGTGAAATTCATAATGAAACGCAGCGCCCTCAACTCTGGACTCAATCGACTTGAAATTCACATGGCCGCAATTTGTTGCCTGTGTTGTGTTTCAGAACCTAATCAACACATCATCAATAACAGTGGGAAATCATTTGTTCTATACACGCCAAATATTCTCCCAGTGTGTGTGTGTGTGTGTGTGTGTGTGTTTGTGTGTGTGTGTGTCTATCTGTCTGTCTGATTTGTGCTCCGTTGGAGTCGCACTCGCCGTGTGGGAGATTAATCACACGGGGCCATAGGCTGAAGCGTGAAATGCAAACAAACAAACAGTTGGACAGTTGGAGAGACGGACAGACAGACAGATGGACGGACGTACATTTGGACGTTGATTATACACGGCACATCGCATTGCCGGCGAGCGTTGAAAACTTAATGAAAGCAAGCGAATGTGGCTTTTCATTTGGCGTTGAGGTTTTGTTTTTTTGGTGGTCGTGGTGTGCACTGACCCGACACGCCCACCACTGCCTAGCCGCCCACAATGTCAGAGTTGGCTGGCAATTTGATTGCCACCGTGTGTGGGCGATTTGCCTGCCCGACTGACTGCCTGGCTGCCTACCTGCCACGCCCACCGCCAACCGCCTGCAATTGATGCTCGCAATTATCTAAAGCTGCACAAACAATGCGCAAATTAAATGCAATAAACAAAATGCACCCGAGGGTTGGGCGGGTGCCAGCCTAGTTGCAAGGGGGCATTTTGGTGAGCGGGAGCGGGGGCAAATGTAAATATTTTATGTTACAATTTGCGCGTTGATTTGTTGCATATTACAAAAAAGGCAACCGCAGTGTATGCCATGCCGCTGGCTATGTGGGCTGCCAATCCGTAGCAGCTCGACGTTGTTGTGGTGCAATTAGCTGGCGGTTTGCTCATATTTTGCGGCCAACCTGGCGGCGGGTGGCAGCAAAAGCCGCGGCGCTCCCGTAATTTGCTCATAAATGCGCTAATAGACAGCAACGAGTGTGCGAATGTTGCTGTGTGTGTGTGTGCGAGTGTTGTGTGTGTGTGTGTGTATTGTGTGTGTTCGCTGTGTGTTTTGCTACTAACCAAATGCCAAAGCAGCCAAGCGGCTGCCGTTGACCGTAACACGCGCCACAGCCACAAGCCAGCATTTGGGGGCGCGCCATTATCTATACAGATCGAAATCGGTCGACGCTCCACAAAAGCGACCTTTACCCATACAGTTCTAGTTGCTGCTGGTCTTAAATTCATTATTGAATTCAATGGGTTAATTATTATGTTTAAGGCACACAACGGCAAAAGCTGTCTGCACTATTTTGTATTAACTAGTTATCTTTAAAGCTGCGGGATTTCCCCTTTTTTGCCTCTTAATACCCTTGCAGAGAGTTTATTATTATGTTTTTTTAAAGAATAAGTCTTTGTACAGGACGCATGGGTTCAGGCTATAAAAAAAACTCCTTGATAAAATTATATGTCGAGGTATATGTTACCATAAAACAGATTTGTCTGAAGATGCGTATTAAATTGCCGGCTATTTTTCTTAAATTTATTATTTACTTATTTTTGTGGTTTGTGCTTGCATCATCCGTTTTTAAATTTTGGGATTTTTTTTTTTTTTATTTCTGATTATGAAATCCCAACAAACCAGCATTCAAAAGAATTATGCAACATTTTAGCTCAGCGCAAAAAAGATATATTCTTAAAATAATTCTTGCAAAATTTTGATGCTTCTCTTGGTCATTAATATTATCAAATTCATCGTCATTTGCAATTCTTTTGAGCGATCACATCAAAAATCTTGTAAGCGACCTTCGCAGCTTATTTCGTGCGGCTGTGGGGTTATATTAAGCGCGGAGTTTAATAGAATTCATTTGGCTTGTCATTGTTTTTTTTGTTGATGCTTATTGTTGATGTTGTTGTGTAAATTCATGCGCTCATTGCCTCAATTAATGCGACATTGAGCGCAATTTGTCGTTTGTCATTAATCTTCTTTTCATTTTCATTTGGCCAGACGCGCCTTGTTTTTTGTTTTTTTTTTGTGTGTGCGCTCTTGGCCAAAACTAATTTTAGACCGCCACAATTTTGGCATTTGTGTTAAAGTGGTAACTTGAGCAGTTGTTGTTGTGGTTGTGGCAGCTGCTGCTGTTGCAGGAAATCGCAAGTCGTTGCCAGCAGCCAAACAAATTTATCACAAAAGGGAACTTCACGCTGCCCTGCAGTTGACAAAAGACTCTTGGCTTAACGTCTTTGGCGCTGGCTAATAGACTGCAAAGCCAAAGCCAAAGCCATGACGCACTTGCTCTATGCATGCCCAAGCTCAGGCTCAGACTCTGGCTCTGGCTGTGCCTCAGGCTCGGTTTTAGTTTCCGTTGCCATGGCCACAGTCACAGCCACTGCCGCAGCCATGCCACAGCGTGGGCTGATGATGATGCTGCAGTTCATGTTGTGGCCCCTTGCGGGCAGGGTTTGCCCTGGCCCACATGCCAGGGCTCCTTTGTTATCAATTCAAGTGGAACGTATTACGTGCATTAGTATCCTTTTGCTCGAGCTGCCTTTTGTGTGTGTGCGTGTGTGTGTGTCTGT